CATTGAGGAAATCGCAAAGACGACTTTCGGTTTTCCTCATAAACATTTGGTATATTTTATCACAAAGCCCAAATTGCCCTATTAACAACATTTCATCTGTTAACAACATTCATATAAAAAATCAATTTTTGAGCCGATTATAAAAGTTGAAAAATCGATTTTGAACAGGTTTGACAACATCTAAAAGTCAATTTTTTAGTCAAAGGCCAAAATCGACTTTTTGATTAGAAGTAGAAATCCAAACCTCAAAAAGACGACTTTTGCGCTCGACTACGGAACTCTATATCATCATCATCTGAACTCATTTATTATCTGACTTTAAAGGTTATTTTTAATCATTCTATATATTCTCCTTAAATTTCAAGGTTCCAACTCGAATCATTCATTAATCAATTGTACTAAATTAAGTACTACATAAACACCAAATACTAAATTGTACTATTTTTACCTCCACTTTTCGTACATTTATAGTTCGAATTTTCACAACCTATACATCAATTCATATCAAAATTTTATCTATTATATCATCCATCACACGATGTGTTATCAAAGTTTGCCAAAGTTTCGGGTTAGCCCCTATATAACGCAACCCCACCCCCATTATTTAGTGTTTTTGGGATTTTGGACACATTTTTCAATCAAATTGGTTTAATATGTGCTGCATTGAATTTAGTACTGTTTACTGTTTCCGTAACCTTAAGTCCGAAACTCCAAAAATCAAGCATTACTGAATCGACTCCAAGATGTTTGAAATATGTCATCCTTGTATATCTGCATCTGTTTTCATTAGGTTATATAAATTCGGAGTATGAATATTTTTGAATCAAAATTCAATCGATATACTCCTCCTCCCGCCAACTTACCTCGAAGTATCAAATTTCCCTCACATAACATACCGCATATCCTAATGCGTTCTCCAAACAAAAATCCATTTGAAAGGAACAACAGAAAACAAACAAAAAAAAAACACCATCTACGAACATGCCAACCACGTATTGAGGGCAATGTCGGCCAACTACAATTCGCAAAACATCTGCATGTGTGTGTAAGTTATACAAATAAGAGAATACGAAAAATAATAAAAATAAAATAGATGAGAAAAAACGGAGTCCAAATAGAAGAAAGTACTATACAAAAAAAAAAAAAAAAAAAAAACGAACGAACGAACAACAACAAATTATAATAGTTGTTCTTGTATTTTCGAGTAAGCAAATTCTACTATTACTCCAGCAAATAAAAAAAACCCCACACCCCAAGGCTCATGCTCCTTCGAAAAAAAAAAGAAATCAAGATGAATCACGCGATTTTTTCATTTAAGGTTTTGTTCAGACTTTAACCAACAACATTATGTTGATGTTGAATGATGATAACGTAAGTTTTGTAGAGGAGACCAAAATCGAAAAAAAAAACTATTTTGGTCCGAAAAAAAATTATTTCTTGGGGACATGACTTACTCTTCGAATTCCACCTATAAATTTTTATTATCCAATGATATTTTTCTGGAACATTTTTTTTTTTGTTGTTGAGGTTGTGATAAATTTTTTCTTCAATTTTCTTAAGATGTTGGCTAAACACAAAATCAATATTTATTTTTTTTTAACTGGTCGATTTTTTCCACCGTTTTCACCTTCAATGAATAAAAGGCGCCTTTTGTAATACAATTTAGAATTTTTTATTGGATTTTTTTTTAATTTTTATTTTTCAATTCGCCTCAAAACAACACCACTGTGAAAACGTTGTGAAAACGTTTTGAAAATTTCCTATTTTCGAATTTTTTATTTTTTTCTTCTCCCAAACAAATTGCAGATTTTTCACAGGCCTTTTTTTCGATTTTCCAATTTTTTTCTATATATTATTCGTTTTTTTCTTTTGGCCAAACGGAACCAGAACCAGCAAACCAACCAACAAGACACTTTCTATATTTGTTAGCTTCTTGGTATTAAAGGAATGAACGAAAAGCGAGACGACACCGTATGAACCGCGCGATTACCGTTAACGCTGAGTGTGAAAGTCGAACTGAGTTGCCCAGCAAATTCTCTGGCAGAGGCACACACACAAGGGATGACCGACAGAAAAAACCCTTCGTGAATGTTGTTCTCTTCGGCGTATCTATTTTTTTCAGGGGGGGTGTGGTGAGGAGGTCAAAATTGCGGTAAAATATTTTTGCTCCGCATTCTCAGCAGTTAAGAAGGTGTTTTGTTTAAAAAATGCACATGGTCTAGTGGATTAGAGCGCATGTGCCAATTACATGTGACAGCTAGCCGTGAAGCGAAGGTGTATGTTTTGTTTCCAACCCCCACCCCACCACCATCATCCCGCTCGGTTGTGTTCATTATTTGTTACGTTTATTTGTTGATAGTTGCAAAACACAGGGTGTCAACGCGGTCGTACTTAGAATAAATAAAATTAGGTCACGTTACGAGTGGCTTTGGCTTAGTTTGTGGTTTGGCACAGTGGGCAGAGCAAAACAAAAAAAAAAAATCTGAAGTCCTTGAAAATATTTCTTTTAAAAAATCCAAGCTTTAGACGGCTGAAATCCTGAAATCCACGCCTTAGGCTGTTCAAGTCCTCGAAAATATTTCTTTTAAAAATCCAAGGTTTAGACGGCTGAAATCCTGAAATCCACGCCTTAGGCTGTTCAAGTCCTCGAAAATATTTCTTTTAAAAAATCCAAGCTTTAGACGGCTGAAATCCTGAAATCCACGCCTTAGGCTGTTCAAGTCCTCGAAAATATTTCGTTTAAAAAATCCACGCCTTAGACGGCTGAAATCCTTGAAAATATTTCTTTTAAAAAATCCACGCCTTAGACGGCTGAAATCCTTGAAAATATTTCTTTTAAAAAATCCACGCCTTAGACGGCTGAAATCCTTGAAAATATTTCTTTTAAAAAATCCACGCCTTAGACGGCTGAAATCCTTGAAAATATTTCTTTTAAAAAATCCACGCCTTAGACGGCTGAAATCCTTGAAAATATTTCTTTTAAAAAATCCACGCCTTAGACGGCTGAAATCCTTGAAAATATTTCTTTTAAAAAATCCACGCCTTAGACGGCTGAAATCCTTGAAAATATTTATTTTAAAAAATCCACGCCTTAGACGGCTGAAATCCTTGAAAATATTTCTTTTAAAAAATCCACGCCTTAGACGGCTGAAATCCTTGAAAATATTTCTTTTAAAAAATCCAAGCCTTAGACGGCTGAAATCCTGAAATCCACGCCTTAGGCTGTTCAAGTCCTCGAAAATATTTCTTTTAAAAAATCCAAGCCTTAGACGGCTGAAATCCTGAAATCCACGCCTTAGGCTGTTCAAGTCCTCGAAAATATTTCTTTTAAAAAATCCAAGCCTTAGACGGCTGAAATCCTGAAATCCACGCCTTAGGCTGTTCAAGTCCTCGAAAATATTTCTTTTAAAAAATCCAAGCCTTAGACGGCTGAAATCCTGAAATCCACGCCTTAGGCTGTTCAAGTCCTCGAAAATATTTCTTTTAAAAAATCCACGCCTTAGGCTGTTCAAGTCCTCGAAAATATTTCTTTTAAAAAATCCACGCCTTAGGCTGTTCAAGTCCTCGAAAATATTTCTTTTAAAAAATCCACGCCTTAGGCTGTTCAAGTCCTCGAAAATATTTCTTTTAAAAAATCCACGCCTTAGGCTGTTCAAGTCCTCGAAAATATTTCTTTTAAAAAATCCACGCCTTAGGCTGTTCAAGTCCTCGAAAATATTTCTTTTAAAAAATCCACGCCTTAGACGGCTGAAATCCTTGAAAATATTTCTTTTAAAAAATCCACGCCTTAGACGGCTGAAATCCTTGAAAATATTTCTTTTAAAAAATCCACGCCTTAGACGGCTGAAATCCTTGAAAATATTTCTTTTAACAAAAATCCACGCCTTAGACGGCTGAAATCCTTGAAAATATTTCTTTTAAAAAATCCACGCCTTAGGCTGTTCAAGTCCTTGAAAATATTTCTTTTAAAAAATCCACGCCTTAGGCTGTTCAAGTCCTTGAAAATATTTCTTTTAAAAAATCCACGCCTTAGGCTGTTCAAGTCCTTGAAAATATTTCTTTTAAAAAATCCACGCCTTAGGCTGTTCAAGTCCTTGAAAATATTTCTTTTAAAAAATCCACGCCTTAGGCTGTTCAAGTCCTTGAAAATATTTCTTTTAAAAAATCCACGCCTTAGGCTGTTCAAGTCCTTGAAAATATTTCTTTTAAAAAATCCACGCCTTAGGCTGTTCAAGTCCTTGAAAATATTTCTTTTAAAAAATCCACGCCTTAGGTTGTTCAAGTCCTTGAAAATATTTCTTTTAAAAAATCCACGCCTTAGGCTGTTCAAGTCCTTGAAAATATTTCTTTTAAAAAAGCCACGCCTTGGGCTGTTCAAGTCCTTGAAAATATTTCTTTTAAAAAAGCCACGCCTTGGGCTGTTCAAGTCCTTGAAAATATTTCTTTTAAAAAATCCACGCCTTAGGCTGTTCAAGTCCTTGAAAATATTTCTTTTAAAAAATCCACGCCTTAGGCTGTTCAAGTCCTTGAAAATATTTCTTTTAAAAAATCCACGCCTTAGGCTGTTCAAGTCCTTGAAAATATTTCTTTTAAAAAATCCACGCCTTAGGCTGTTCAAGTCCTTGAAAATATTTCTTTTAAAAAATCCACGCCTTAGGCTGTTCAAGTCCTTGAAAATATTTCTTTTAAAAAATCCACGCCTTAGGCTGTTCAAGTCCTTGAAAATATTTCTTTTAAAAAATCCACGCCTTAGGCTGTTCAAGTCCTTGAAAATATTTCTTTTAAAAAATCCACGCCTTAGGCTGTTCAAGTCCTTGAAAATATTTCTTTTAAAAAATCCACGCCTTAGGCTGTTCAAGTCCTTGAAAATATTTCTTTTAAAAAATCCACGCCTTAGGCTGTTCAAGTCCTTGAAATTATTTCTTGTCATTTAAAATCTACATTTAGTCCTTGAAAATAATTAATCTGTTTTTTTTTTGAAATCTGAAAATTTTATTTTATTAATAAATCATACATTTCGTAGTTGGATTCATATACGTATCCATGGGACAATTGAAGGCCTTCGCGAATTCATCAAAATTAGCCAAGGGCCCAATATCACGCAATTGATTTGGCGTATGGGTATCAGCCAGCTGATTGGCAATATACATCTCGGCATAATTGGAACACCACACCTGGGCATAGGAGACGAAGAACAGTTGCTTGTAGTTGTAATTTTGTAGATCTGGAAATTTAAGCAATTCCTCCGATTGAGTATGTTTGCGATACCAATTCACATATGCTTCATAGGCCAAACGGATACCACCACCATCGGCTATGTTTTCTGCCTGTGAAGGCATTTCGGGAAGGTGATGGCCGAAATACACCAACTCCTTATATTGATTCTGGAAACATTTGCTGCGTTCACGGAATATTTGATCTGTGTTGGAATCCCACCAATTACGGGCATTACCAATGGCATCATAATTACGACCACTGTTGTCAAAGCCATGCACCAATTCATGGGAGACAAAGAACCCAAGGAAAGCGAAATTGTAGGCGGAGGGGAAATCGGTGGACCAGGCATAATAGGGTTGTAGGAAAGCCACCGGCATGTAGACCATATTTTCAAATGGATTGTAATAGGGTGTGGTGGATGACTCTGCACCCATTTGCATGGCTTGGGGTGGTTCATTTAGCTTAGCCCGAGCCTTATTACCTTTGACTCGTCTTATGGCATCGATGTTTTCGACAAAATTCTGGTCACTCAAATCCAATTGTTCCACTTCTTCCACATCTTTGGGATGTTCATAGGAGAGAATTTTCAGTTTCATGTGTTTGAGTTTTTGAATTGCCTCCTTCTTGGTGTCCTGCCGAATCCAATCTAAACGCGGCGAATATAAAATATCCTGGAAGGCGGTTTTCAATTCTCGCCAAATTTGATATAAAATCTGTTCGGCATTCTTCGGAATATATTTACGATAGACCATGTTGTCCATAACTTTATAGAAATAGGATTTCGATTTTTCAATACAATATTCCACCACTTCGGAATCTTTGGTTTTCGGTTCCACAAGATACTCGGCCATATATGAGAAATAGAGATAATTGGCCAAAATTCGTTTGGGTGTTTTCTTGAGAACATCACGGACATGATCCAAATAACCCACCTGGATGTAGACCTCACGAATGGACCGGTTGTCCATGGTGTCGTAAATAAGTTGCTTTAAATCACCCATATCCCGATAGTTGCGTTGTAACTCATCAATGTCCATAAGGGTAAATAATTCCGCCGGTTGATGTCCCGCCTTGGGATCATCCATACCATGGGCCAGGGAGATTTCAAAATTCAATATTTCCCAAGCGATTTGGGTTGCTTCGTGTTCACTGACTCCGAAATAGTTCTGCAAATAATATGTTGAATATTCGATGATCCGTTCACGATCATCGGCAAAGGCCTCACCGATGTAGATTTCGGGATTTTGCATGGGTAGGCGAGGTTCACCCAACACAACACGATTAATTGTGTTATCACTGAAATCGGGCAGGACCACAATGTGCAACAACAACTCCTGACCACTGGTATACACCATTTTCGATAGGGTCTTGATCCAATCGAAGTCGTGTTCATTCCATGACTCACCCACGAGGAGGGGCATTTCACCGAATTGTTCCACCACATTTTTCAGATCTTGATTATATTCCTTATCTAAGGAATGTTGAATTTTAAGGCAGGACTTAAAGAAATTCTTCACATTCCGATAGGCCTTCGTATCGCTGGGATAGTCGGTTTCCAATTCGCCACGAACACGTTCATTCATTTTCTCCGACAATACCTCACCAATACCAATGGCAGGATTGTCCTCCGTCACCGGATTATGTTTGGCAAAATTACCACAGGCATACTGATAGAAATCCTCGCAGGGATTGGCCGTCAGATTCATGTATTTAAACATTTCCGCAGACTTGGTGCGTTGTATTACATCCGGTGAATGTTGTGGCGTCAGATCGCCCGTCGACAGCATCCATCCTTGGTGTTGTAAACCGAGTAGAAGAAAACAAAATAGGGAATAGCGAATCATCTTGACTGCGGATTTTGAATGTGTTGTCCAGTAGGACAACTTGAGAACTGATATTTCAACACTCGTTTATGGCTATTTATAATAATTGGGATCCCAAAGAATTCTCAAAGTCTCAGGTAAATAGGTTATCAAAATTTTTTGCCACATTAGAATTTCGAAGTTCGGTCAATGACCATTCTGTGTTATCATAAGAATAACCTATTCATTTTAAATACTACAAATTCGCATCAAGAATATTAAATCCAATTCAATGCATGTTTTGATATCGCAAAGCATGGGGCCACTAATTCCTAATCTTTATAAATTATTTTGAATATTAATTCGGGAAATGCAACACCTTAAACATAATTCATCTATAGAAGGTCATCTAAGGCGTGGATTTAAAAAAAAAATATTTTCAAGAACTTGAACAGCCTAAGGCGTGGATTCTTTAAAAGAAATATTTTCAAGGACTTCAACAGCCTAAGGCGTGGATTTTTAAATGAAATATTTTCAAGGACTTCAACAGCCTAAGGTGTGGATTTTTTAAAAGAAATTATTTCAAGAACTTCAACAGCCTAAGGCGTGGATTTTTAAATGAAATATTTTGAAGGACTTGAGCCTCCTAAGGCGCGGATTTTTTAAAAGAAATATTTTCAAGGACTTCAACAGCCTAAGGCGTGGATTTTTTAAAAGAAATATTTTCAAGGAATTCAACAGCCTAAGGCGTGGATTTTTTGAAACGAAATATTTTTAAGGACTTCAACAGCCTAAGGTGTGGATTTTTTGAAACGAAATATTTTTAAGGGCTTGAAAAGCCTAAGGCGTGGATTTTTTTAAACGAAATATTTTTAAGGACTTGAAAAGCCTAAGGCGTAGATTTTTTTATTTTTTAATTTTAAAAGAAATAATTTTAAAAGAAATATTTTTTTAAAAGAAATATTTTCAAGGAATTCAACAGCCTAAGGCGTGGATTTTTTGAAACGAAATATTTTTAAGGACTTCAACAGCCTAAGGCGTGAATTTTTTTAAACGAAATATTTTTAAGGGCTTGAAAAGCCTAAGGCGTGGATTTTTTTAAACGAAATATTTTTAAGGACTTGAAAAGCCTAAGGCGTAGATTTTTTAAAAGAAATATTTTCAAGGACTTGAAAAGCCTAAGGCGTCGATTTTTTTAAACGAAATATTTTTAAGGGCTTGAAAAGCCTAAGGCGTGGATTTTTTTAAACGAAATATTTTTAAGGACTTGAAAAGCCTAAGGCGTAGATTTTTTAAACGAAATATTTTTAAGGACTTCAACAGCCTAAGGCGTGGATTTTTTAAATAAATATTTTGAAGGTCTTCAGCCCCCTAAGGTGTGGATTTTTTAAATAAATGTTTTGAAGGACTGGATTTTTTTAAACGAAATATTTTCAAGGACTTCAACAGCCTAAGGCATGGATTTTTTTAAACGAAATATTTTTAAGGACTTCAACAGCCTAAGGCTTGGATTTTTTGAAACGAAATATTTTTAAGGACTTTATTTTTAAGAAATATTTTAAAGGACTTATGTAGACGACTTTGGTCACTATAATCTTTTCATAATTTTAAATTTTCCCAAAAAGGTCAATAATCTACATAATGGCATGCATAGAAACCGTATGGTATTTTAAAACGACTTACCTCATTGATAACAAAAAAATTACATTCTCCTCAGCCCCCATTCAATATTCAGCAGCATTCTCATAAATTCTTTTGGTGAAAAGGTTAAACGATCAATTTCTCATATTAAAACATTTGCCAAAAACAAGAAATTTCACTAAATCATTTCTTTTCTTTTTTCAATACTATATATTGAAATTTGCACAACAACACAAACTCACATAATATTTGCATACACTCACTCACACGCCCTCTCACGTGTAGCCAAACATATTTGCAATTCTGTTAAATAGAATTATGTATGCAGCGAGCAGAACAAAAATGACAAAAAAAACAAATTAAATTTTAAAACATTTCTTTGTCTTTCAAACTGTGACGTCACAGTAATATTTTTCTATTTTTATGGCAGGCAAGCAAGCAAACAGACACTAACGCACTAAGACTCACACACTCAGCAAACACACGCGCAGGCAGGATTGCAGAAATCTAATGAAATTATTGAATAAATAGATTTGCCAATATTTTTGTTGTTGTTGCTGTGGTTTACACTTCGCCGACACAAAATAAGCATAACTACATTAAGACTAACAAGATTTAAATTTCCGAAAATTTTTTTATTAAATTAATTTTGACAACGAACAAAAGACGACACAAATACAAAATGTTTCACAAGGAAACCGGAGGTAAACTAAGTCATTTGCGCGCAAAAATGTAGCGAAGCACACACGATGGCAATGCCGTCATCTGTGAGGTAGTGAACGATATGGCCATCTTTTGTTTATGTCAAAGCTTATGAGCTTTTGTTCAGTGTGGTCATTGTAGCGTTGTTTGTCAGTAGTTGTTTATTTTGTCACCAGATGGCAGTGTAATATCTTTTGATATAAAAGCGTGAATGAAAATGGGAATAAACCAAGAAAAAGGTAAAATGCAATCGATGTTTATGGTACCATATGACAACATAGTTTTTATACTATGTTTAGATAAAAAGTGTTTAACTATGAAAGCGTCATTTAAATTATTATGATACGTTTACACAAAATGTGTTTTGTGATCCCAGCCAAGTCTACACAGGGGGATTGCCATAGCAGTAACGAAAGAAGTGTGGACCCTATTGTCCGACCGACTTCCAGTCCGTCCTCAACAGGTCCTGTGTCGGCCACAGCCGACAAACTTCGGAGGCAATCTGCAACAGAGGTGATGTCCGACGATGGGGAATCAGTTGATCCCCCGGAAACGGACAGTGGCTCGAAGGTTGGGAAGGTCCGAGAAGTGACCGATGCGAAACATTACAAACGTGCTGTTTCGTATCTTCGCAAATTCGTGGGGCGAGACGCGAATTTGATTTCGGAGAGGGAGGTTCACCTCATCAATGGTAAGATGAGATATGTGAGGAAATTCGAGGGAATTTATCCTCACGCTCTCCATCGCGAACTCGAGATGGACAAGATCTCCCTCCCGAATCTCACTGCTCGCACAAAAGTAGTAGAATCGGCGAAGCCCACTGTCTCTGGCAATGGTGCTAAGCCGACTTCTGACCTGAAGCCCAGTTCCAAGCCGAACCAGTGTAAGAATGCACAGGAAAAGGTAACTGAGAGTATCCCAAAATAGAATGTCACCCATAAGGGTGATCAACCTGCAGAGGGCTCTGTCTCAAAGCACAATTCTGCGCCTAACGACAAGGGGGAGACAAAAGCTCTGGGTGGATCCAAAAGTGGTCGAAGCAGGAAGAAGGGGAATTCAGCCAAGTCACCATCGTCTCCTGGGAGAGCAGATGTCGCACCACAGAATAAATCTGTGAAGCGAATCCGCTCTTCAGATGGTCCGCAACCCTCACCCAAGAAGACGATGACTTCTCGTCTGGTAGATCTACCTCTTATTCGGCTTGCGTTGGATAACAAACTGCGGAGAAACGACCAAGTGCGGAGAAGTCTTCAACCTCCTCTGGAAAGGCGACCTCCAAGGCTCGTAGTCAACGACAGCGTAAGCCGCATGATAGACCAACTAAGGTAGCCACCGAAGAAGACCTTCTTGTGGTCTTCTTCTGATTCTACCCTGAGGATCAGGGTAGAATCAGAAGAAGTGAGAGTCATTGGTTGCTATTTCAAGGAGCCCTTCGGTTGGCTATCGTCTGTGGGACGGACCAAGGGGACCGACAGTTTGGCAGTGCCTTCATGCAGAAGGGTGCCAAAGTCATTAACTGTTTAAACAAGAAATCCAAGGATTTCCTTGGGGAAGCCGTTATTGGCTTTGGCGCGCCCTGGGAAGGAGCTAACCTTGCAGCGGTCTCCCTAGCAGATATCCCAACAAGACGGGTCCTTTCGGCCTGGGTTCCCCCACCTTCTTTGTATAAGGAGCTCCTGCTGAAGATGCTGGCGCTACAAAACCCCAGCCTCACTACATCGAGTTGGATTGTGGTCAGTCTAACTCCCTGTAACGAGGATGGTGGTATGGTGGCGAGAGTGGCGGTTAACACTGAACTATTTATCATCCAACAATTTATTTGCATATTGAATTTTACCCATAGGGCAACACTATTCTAATTGGAGTGAAGTTGGCTGTAGTTTACCAGTCCAATTAAACAAGAAAACAAACTTCAAAACGGGCGCCAGAAAACAGTTTACGCACGAAAGCAGTCGTCAAAAAAATACAAATTGTGTAAAATAATTTTTGAAATAAACTTCAAACGTGAAACAATATAAGAAATAAGACAACATCCAAATGAAATTCAATTAAAAACAATTTTCTTCGCCTAAAAAAAAACACAAACAATTTTGCAACATTGAAATCTGTTTTGCTAGAATACATTGCATTGTTGTTGTTCCTTCGCGAAAAAAGAGAATCCCTCATCTTGACTACTCAGTTGTCATACAACTGACTCTGTCTCTCTCTCTCCCTTTCTCATCCATGCTCTGACGCGTTCTCACACGGTGTTTGTGTGCCGAGTGTCTGTTTTTTTATGCTATTAACTCTTCTTCGCTGTTTTGGTTGTTGTTAATAAACGGTGTTTTTGTTGTTGTCTTTCGTTGCGCAAAGAAACGAAAAGAAAAACAATAGACCACGAAGTAGTGAAATAAAAGAATTAAATAAAAAACATAAAGCTGTTTTTTTTTATCGCTCGCCGTAGTGTTCTTCGTATATTTTTGCGGTTGTTTTGCACTTGTGTTTTTATTTTGTTCGCCTTCTGATAATTATTTGTTTATATATTGCTGTTGAATCTGGCCAACTAAGTGAATCCATGTACGAACAATTACCAGCTGGCCGTGGGGAACATGTACATAAAATTGCAACCAGCCTATAATACTTGGAAACGCGTATCAACATTGCTTAACGGCCTTTGGAATAGACTTAATTTGCCAATAAATTCGCCGCCTTTGTTAGCCCTAACGTATACGCCACTAACAGCCGCGGATAATAATTTGGATAAAAATCGCAATACCTCAACAGCAACAACAACGGTTAACAATATTAATTGTAATAAGGTCAATCAAAAGGCAGCAGCTACTAAAGGAGAGGTGAGTTGTTGTTGGTGTTTTTATTTTTCTTTCTTGTAATTAATGTAAACACTTTCACTGAATTTAATTACAGCTATTTTTTTTCTTGATATAAAACAAGAGGAAAATATGTTGGATATATTTATAAATTGTTGAATTTAAATGTATTTAAGGATAACTAAAAAATAATTTTTTAACTCAGTTAGATAGTGAATAGCAACATAATCTATATTAATAAAAGAGTAAAGTGATTGACTGACCGTCTTAACGATTCATCAACGCCCATACGAAAAGGCTGAAGCTAGAATCTTGACATTTGGGGTGAGGGTCACTCTTGGTCCAAAGGTGCCAGATAAGGCTGGGTTTTTGGAAATCCGTACTAGAGGAGTGTAGGATATATGCACCAAAGGGTTTTTTTTTTTTTGGAAATTCGAACTATAAGTATCCCAAAAGTAGTAAAATGTACTAAATATTGTACAATTTCGTAGCATATGAATGAATAGAGCTAAAAACTTGAAATTTTGAATGCGAATTATGGTTGAGAATTAGGATCGATATAAGGAGGTGGTTTTGAAAGCATGTATGTATACGAAAAGTACTCAACTGCACTCAATTTGGTATTAAAGGTCGTTTACATTAAACCGGATTTGGTTAACCCAGTGGGTTTAAGTTTTCAATTCCTTTGAATATATGCCAAATAAATCCTCATAAAGTAGTTTAACCCGGTAAAAAGTTCTAATGTAAATGCCGTATAATTTGAATTTGGATAACCGGATGGAGCTGGAATCCTAAAATATGAAATTTGTACTAATGTGTACGAAAAGTACAAAATTGTACTATATTTTGTACAACTTGGATTTGGGTGAACCGATAAAGCTGAAACGCTGAAATTTTGCGTTAGGATCACTGTTGGGGTGTTGAATTGGGTTATGTAGGAAGTTGCGGAAATTTATACTTATGTGTACTAAATGGTACTAAATTTGGCACAATTTGGATTTGAGTAAACCGATAAACATGGAACTTTGAAATTTGGAAATAATATTATTGTTGGGGTGTAGGATTGGGAGATGCATGTAGTTTTGGAAATTTGTAATTATGGGTACTAAATTGTACTAAATTTCATACAATTTGGATTTAGAGCTGCAGTAGTAAACATTTTTGCATTTCCTAAAATGAAGCTAGGAGAGTATAGAAGAAAAAAAAACACAAAAAAAATGTGCAGAAAATTTTAAAGGTTTCTAATTTTAACCTTTTTGATGTATAATACAAAGTTGGGTATTTTTGAAAACTCGGATATCCAATATCTCAGGAAGAATCGATTTCCCCTCTATTAAAAATAAAAGTATTCTGTTGTAATCAGTATCATCAAATATTTAATATTTTTCGACAAATACATTTAAATTTACCTAGCAATCATTCATGTAAATGATATCGATTTTATTTCTATTTAAGAACGTAATCCTCTTCCTATCAACAATTAGTCGACAGTTGTATGCTAAATCTTGTATGAATTACTCATACTACTGCCGAATATATCGGAGGCGGATATAAAAAAATGAAAAAAAGTCGTTATGTTAGACCCGACCAAAATTGTTTTAATAAGTCTTTCATTTTGAAAGTGGTTTAAGTACACTTTAGGTTCAGATACAAATCTTGTTTCTTCTAGAAAAGTTTACAAAACATATTACGTTATGTATTCTATCATGTTTAAGTACACAAAGTCAAAAAAAAAAAAAATAAATAAATAAATAAAAAAATAAAAACCACCGAACAATGTTTTTGAAATAAATCAATCTTAAACCTTTAAATATCTCAATATGTGAAAAAATGGACTTAAAACACTTTCAAAAGAAAACGACTTAAATATCAATCTGGTCTTTTATATGGGGAAAATGTATTGTTAAATGGTAAATTGAGCTTGGAGGTTTTTTATCCTTTCACAAAAACGAACATACCAAATATGTCGCTTGAGTTGTGTATGGGGTCTTTGTAGAAGTGTGAACTTATATTCAAAATACAGGTGCTAGATTTTTATATGAGATCTGTACCCAAAGATCGACCGATAATTATAATTTTTGGTAGAAAGTTTTGCCATTCAATAGAACTGAAATTATTAAATCAGATCCAACTATATTGAAAAACATGACTAACATTCTCAATTAACAACAAGTGAAAAGGCGTTAAGTTCGGCCGGGCCGAACTTTGGATATCCTCCACCATAGGTATAATGATAGTTACTTGAAATGAAAATATAGGGAACATACCATAAAGTATAACTATACCAACAATTGTACTTCATTCTAAATGTTAAAAATAACGAAAATCCGTCTTGGCCTAAATGCGGACCGATTACAAAGATGTTCGAAAGTAGAATGATTACAACAGATGACTAAATCGTCTTAGAGTTCCATTCTTTCGGGACAAAACTAAAACGGGGAACAAATAACATAACTATTTTAATATAAAATAGAGCGGAATATGGGGACTACCCCTAAAATGGGGGCGAATATTAATAATTTTTGGTACAAGCGAATTCGGTTGAAAACCCCCCTAAAATACTAAAAAAATGGGGGTACAGTTATATGGAGGCTACAAGAAAGATATATTTTAGTGGAGAAATTCCGTACTCAAACAAATCGAATTATGTTTGAGTACGGAATTTCTCGTGAACATCAAAATACAGAAAATTGGGGTACCCTTATATGGGAGCTATGCCTAAACGTGGACCGATATAGCCCATCTTCGAACTTGACGTTCTGCAGACAAAAGACGACTCTATGCCAAACTTGACGTTCTGCAGACAAAAGAACTTGACGTTCTGCAGACAAAAGACGACTCTATGCCAAACTTTGGCGATCTATCTCAATGTGTTTAGAGACTAGAGTGATTACAACAGACGGACAAGGCAAAATCATTATACAATTTTACGCCAAATTTGAAATAATAAAATTAACTGTTAGGAAAGTACCTTTCACCACATGAAATCGGACTAAATTAAATATCTGAAAAGATGTATCAAAGTCTGAACCGATAAAAAACATAGACACATAAATCTATGCCCAATTTAAAAAGCTATGCACAATTTAGCTAGAATTAATCTAAGGGTCTTTGGTACACCATTTTTATAAAATCGGACGAATATATGGGTATATATGGGAGTTATATCAAAATTTGAACAGATTTCACTAAATCTTATCACACGTCATTAAATGCTCAATACGTTATGCTGTGTAAATTCTCTTCGAATCGGATCAAAACGTGGTATAGTCTCATCAGTTTAGTAATATATTAGCAAAATATATAATATTACGGACTCTATGGAGATTTCAATTTTATTCCTCTCGAGATATATATGCCCGCCATTCTGTACGGAATGATAAATATGATATGACAAATGGGATGGTATATTACATCCCACTTATGGTGGTGGTTATAAAAATACTGATTCTCGGCCGTCCGGCCGGCTCCTGCCCACGATAACTCTCCGTGTTCAAGTTCAAAGATGGGGAATATCCGCCCACCCCTTCTGGTACCTCGCCCAAAAATGGTAAACATTATTTTGCGAAGGGACTAATCGATTTGAATCAAACTTTGTACCAGATATCATTACGAAGCCTAGATCAAGATCAAAGTTGGGACCAATTGGTCCACTCCTTCAGTACCTTCCCCACAAGGGGTCAACATTTTCAATATTTGAACCAAATTTTGCACAACCTATTATATTTACCAAAGCTAGATAATGTCCGAAGGTGGCACCCATTTGACCTCCCCACAAATGGTAAACTATTATCTTTACCAAATCTAGATTAAGTCAGAATATGGGACTAATTGGTCGACTCTCTATTCTCAGAATCAGGCGAAAGGAATGTTCGATTTGAACCAAATTTCGCAGAGCCTATTGTGGTAGTGGGTTCCCAATGTAATATTTTATTTAAAAACGTGAAAATAGAAGACTAAGACTATCCGTCCAAATATTCTCGTACACCAACACAAATGTTCAACGCGCAGTATAAGATTTTTAAAAAATAAGAACTGAAATAGTTGTGTTAAAATAATAGTCTTATTTGTCCTGTTTTAATAAACATTCTTTATATTTATGTATTAATATATATTTTAAATTGCAAAAAATAAAGCCAATGTTTATAATTTTAATTGTGTATATTAATTAGGCAACAATTGTGCATCTTATCGCATTTAACAACGAATAGTGGTGCTTAAAATAGTTTTCTTTTGAAAATATCGATGGTACATTGTATTTTTCTTGTTTAACAAGTTAACATAAATTCAAATTTATACAAAATTCATTAACAACGCCCATTTCCTTAAAGATGTAAACTATATTTGGATAACCATTTAAGACCATCCGCGGCATTTGTTTTCGGTTTATATTCACAACCAATCCAATCATCATAGCCCAGCCTTTCAATCAATTTAAAAACATAACGATAATCCAATTCACCATCTTGGTCGGGTTCATGACGATGTGGCACTTGGGCAATTTGTATATGTCCGATATATTTAGCAAGTTCAGTGAAACCATTAGCCAAATCACCCCTAATCAATTGACGATGGAAGATATCCATTAACATTTTCAAATTGTCACTTTTCACTTCATTCAGAACGTTCACTGCTAAATCGTAGCAATTCATAAAATACGATGGTACGGAATATTTGTTGATTGGTTCTATGACACCCACCATGTTTTCTTGAGCCAACAAATTGGCTGCATATTTTAGATTCGCAATGTACGTATGTAAATGCTCTTCACGGGAATGGTTGCCCACCAATCCCGACATTAAATGTATTTTAGTGCATTGCAATTGTTTGGCCAACTGTATGGTTTCGTTTAAATGCTCTTGGAAGTGTTTTTCAGCGCCGGGAATGCTTGTTGCACCCAACTGCAATTCATTGCTGCCCAATGCAATGTTCACCAGAGAGACATGTATGCCGGTCTCTTGTTTTGCCTTGACGACAGCTTCTTCTTCTGATTTGGGGTAAGGTATTTCCACTGCACGAAATCCTGCTTTGTGAGCCAGGACAATTCTTTCGGCAATTGTGCGAGCCTCTGTGAAGAGGAAATTCAAATTTGCTGCAAATTTCAATGACATTTTTTCTTCACTCGATTTGCCACGTGATGATAGTGCAATTTTAACAAATAACTTGTTGTCTATCTGTCTGTATGTAGGTATATCTATGCCAGTAGTGCTTCTTAGTAAGCTTATCTCTTGCTGTTTATTTATTTACTTTTGTTTTAGCTTCAAGTGTTTTGATGATGTATTTCGTATTTGTCTTTGATGGAGGTCAATTATTTCGGCTTTTTATTCTTTAAACTTTTCTGCAAAATTTTAACAAAATATTGTTTTATTTCAAATAATCAGTTCTATTGTTTATAATAAATAGTTAATAAACATACCAATTGTCCAATAAACATTCATAGAATTCCGGTTATTGCAATTGACTTCCAATTAGACTGTAATTGTAAATAATTTGCACGGAACGCCCGGGAATGAAACATCATATGTTGCATTTTTCATAATGTTGCCACCACTCTCTACTAAAACATGAGTGTATGTTACGTTGCCACTTTGTTGTGTTTAGTGTAAAACTGTGAAGACAAACGCGCGTTTAGATTTTAACTTCTAAATCGACTCAATTTGTACATGGTGGAATAAAATTAAAGCTATATAAACTAATATTAAAATTAAATAAAGTTGTCAGTGATTTGACATTGCTTTAAAACCATTTTGCATACACATTGGCATTATTTATTATAACGTCCATGTCGCTGGTCAATATTTCCTCTCCATACGTCGAAAAAACAAACACCTGTTCTTTAAAAATATACTAATTAATTTCGCACAAAACGAGGTGTCATGAATGAATTTATGGTAAATAGCTCGATTTTTTTATTTTCCGATGTATTCTCCAGCATGATTTATACACATTTTCAAGTTTTAAAAGAAATGTACGAATTATGGACTTTCTCCAATTGAGATGCCTCCAAAACTTGGTTTTTCAGCGCTTCTACAACATTTTTTGGAGACGAAAATAATAACAAGAAAAAATGTCGTCATGTACGACTGACCTGGACTTTTTTAACAGATCGGGAACATGATATTGTGATTTTGTCATTTTAAATTGTCTCTAGTAGGTTGTTGAGTTGGGAAAATGGAAAACCAAGTTACTGATCAAATAATGCAGTGCCTTGGTATGGGAAGTCGCGTCGCTCTTTATATGGGAATTATGTCAAAACACGAATCTACATCAATATGAATCTACAAATGAGATGTTTATTTTTAAAGTGGTTTAAGTCCATTTTAGCGTTTTAAGTCCATATCTTGGTTTCTAGTAAAAATTGGACTTAAACCATTTTCAAAATAAACGACTCAAATATATATTTTCAAATTATATTCACTACGGTAGGAAAAAACTGTATTATGCAATTTGGATGTCAAAAAATAGACATATCGACGCCTCCGAACCATAGTATGCTAAGTCTGAAAAGTGAGTTTTTCAGCAGAAGCTTTCAAAGTATGGAAGATTATTTAATCTTTTGCTCATTTTTGCTTATAGTATCTAAAAACGTAAAGAACTTTAAAACATGCTAAGTCGACTTAGCATACTATGGTTCGGAGGCGTCGATATGTATTTCGTACCTTTATCCCTTTCAAATCCAGTTTTAGATCTGACAATTTTTTAAAGAATTTAGTTAGCGCGCAATCCGAAATTACAGTTACTTTGGTGGTAAAACCCTTAAAAATAGCGAAAATGGGTGTTGGGTCGTAATAAAGGAGCTATGCGAAAAAAAATTGACTAGTATTTTTATTTCTTCGGGAAAATTTGACACCCCATGAGGACGCACTATATCTAATTACAAGCAATTTGGTTAAAACACGTACCCAAACTCCCTAAAATACTGAATAAAAGAAGTACCATTAAATGGGGGCTACACTCATATTAACTATTTTTATTAGGAAGTTTTTTTGGAAGTGGATTAATACTAATAGATTTTCATAAGAAAATTGCTTACCTAGGGCGAACTTCGAATACTAAACTACAGCTCATTTGATTGAAATGCGTCCCCAGTAGCTTTAAAAAATTGAGAATTGGATGAGGTGTAGGGTATAAAAATAAGCCTTTTCATAATTTTACGTTGTTCAGGCGGAACATCCGCCAGTTTCACCGAAGACAATTTTCGTTAAATTGGCTAGTCTTTGAAGACCCACTCGGTCATTTACTTTTTTTCTTTCGGACTCATATATACTCCATAATTCATCACCTATACGAAGCACCGCGATCGTATTTTTCTTTTCAAAATTTCTTTGGATGTCTTTTTTGAGATTTCAAACCTTTAAGTCCTATGGACCAGATTTTTGCAATTTAATGCAAATTAATGCACTCTTTTCTTTATTAAAGCTCTTTTGTCGTCGTAATCCATATCAAAATGAATGAGTTATTTTTTTTAATTTAATTTTTCAACTAACCGTAAAAACACAACACATGATCGTACGTCAAACTTTAGTGAACACGTTTATGCTTAAAAAAGTGAAGATCCAATGGCGTTTCGCCATCTGACAATTCTAATATGTAGAAACTACCCTAAAAGGTTGCATTATTTCTAGAGCAGCGGTTTAATTTTCAACAACTATGTTTATATTATCGACAATAAATCTTATGTTTATAAATGGTCACATAATTCTGGACAAAGAAAATATCAAGGCGTCAATTGGTGCTATAACCATTAAAGTATTCTCTGACACTTCTTGGCACTAGGTTCTGAAACTCAAATGTTTTGGAGAAAATCAAATTGATTTTTATTATATGCAAAACTTTTGATAATCTTCAAATTATTCATAATTGTCAATGTCATTATAAACACCAGTTCCATCTTTTTAATTGACAGCCATTTCATTCTAATATTATGACATGTGTCATGTGTGTTATATAACATTTTTCATGAATATGAATAATATTTACAAAAATATGAAATTTTGATTTAGACACCATGTCATTTATAAATCGTAACCCACAATGATATAATATTTTACCGATGCAAATCTTAAACTTTCCAGCAAAACTTAGATCATCAACCTCGACTCGAAAGAGTATAAATAATCACTTAAAAATTACTTTCAAATGATCACTGCCCTTACAGGCAAAATTCAAATAACAAAAATTAATTTCAGCTGAGCACGGCTAGGGCTCGAACCTAGGTCTTCGGAGCAACACAAAATTTGCCAGACCACTTAACGTTCTGAGCCATCAATACACTTCCAAAACGGATGCGCAAAAACATGTGTATACCATGGAAGCAATTGTAGGTGTGTTGAATAATTATCCATCGCTACAACAAAAATCTGCTTTGAAAAGGACTGTTCCTAGAATGAAGACAAATGTCAAACTTTGACAAATTTGAATTTAATTCGCATATGCAAGTTTCGCATCAGGGCGGAATAAATACAAGTTATCAACGGTACGACCTTTGTAAAGCCACATAGCCCAATATGCCTGATGAGCCGCTTAACCAACGGCGAAACGCGTCACATAATGGTGGGTACGTAGGTTCTTCTCCTGGCTTTCCTTTTCATTGCAAAACTTAGATCATCAAGCTCGACTCGAAAGAGTATAAATAATCACTTAAAAATTTGAAATACGTTTTATCGGTTCTACCTTTGTCAAAAAATCGGATTCTGATCCATAGTTCTATATGCACAACTTAGTCCATTTGTTTTTATTTATTGACATCCTTCAAAGTAGTGTACTTGTCAATTGTGTGTATATGTACTCTACATTGTATTATTGTCCCATTTCAAGCCATTGAAAGTCTTGATAAACTTGTTAGAGCACGTTTAGATTACAAAATCTACTCGATTTCAAAATAACATGACCCCTTCAATTAATTCTAAGTCGTTTGGAACGAATTTTGTGTCCAATCAGAATTTCGATATGTTAATTATTAAAAAATATGCGAATATGCAAAATCCAAGGTCTAATTATATTTTAAATTTGGGATCGCGTGGATTTCACAAATCTAAACGCCATCTTAAACTATTTCTTTTCATTAAGCTTACCAAACAGATATGGCATCTCTTTTTTAATTTTCGCGCCATTTAAATCAATGGCTATCAAACAAAAACGTCAAACCAGATGAGAGTGTGAACAAAGTTGAAAGATTTGTGTGTGTTTGCAGATTTACTTGAAGCTGTTTGGAAGTGTTTTTTTATATGTTACTGTTCGAATGAATTTCAATAAGAAAATCGCAAACAACTAAAAAAATAAATTAAAATATTGCCTTTGATCGATTCAAATACGTCAAGTTAACACGTGAAATTGGGGGAAAATTCAATTGGAAAATTTCATTGAATCAACAGAAGACAGAAAGAAAAAAAAAACAGGAAAACCTCTTCAAAAAACAACAAGACAGGCCAGACCAACGACAACAACAACAACGTCGTCGTTGTAAAACACTGAAGAACGAAGGAAACACGGAGGAAAAAAGAAAAATCAATTTTGCGCACACTTTTTTATTTCTAAATACATCCATCTGACCATTGCTCCATACAATTTTACGGTGGAGGAGTGCGGTGATGCTGCTTTTAGTTAATACGGACTGCTGTTTTTAAGACTCCCAGCCGTCTGTCGTCTTCAACAAAATTCACATTTCGCACAAAAAAAAACTTGTTTCACGTTTTTTATAACTCTCGCTACGTCGTCGTCTCTGCTAGCCAACAAACAAACAATCAAAAAAGAAGAACAAGAATTAACAAATAATTCTGAAAAAAAATATTCTATCTATGGACATCGTTTTCGGGTGGTGCTGACCTTTCCAACCAACAATCAACTAAACCCCAAGCTAACAAAAACAAAACAGCAACTATTTAACCAAACCTAACTAACCCGACCGACCATAAGTGGTGCACAACTATTTGGTGTGTTCAATTCTAGAGACCCACGACCAACAACAACAAAAATCCACTTTTGTATTCAATTAATTAACACGAAAGGTAAAATTTTGTTTTGTTTTATAAAAGTATTGACTACATAATGTTGCAAATAGTGGGGTGGTGGAATGGGCGCCGCTCCAACTGATATGAATTGTTGTTGCGCT